TTTCTTTGAAAGCAAGAACATCTCTAAAAAGAGTGATTCGCCACTCTAAACAAGCGTTCAAAGCGTTACCTCGAGGCGTTCACCCAGTCGTTGTGGAGTCGATGAGTGAGAAGTGGATCAGGCAGTTCTCTCAAGTAACTCTTCAAAACGCTACAAACTGAGTGAGGATCGAGGGAATATGCACGCTCATCGCTCTGAAATCATACAGTCAATATATACCCCTAGGAAAAAGAACGGCGCGACTTACGTCGATCTGACCGGCATCGAAGGCTGCTTTCATGCGCCGAATTTTTCGTATTGTTACCATTAACTCGGAACAATCCTCAAATTAGCAATTTTACATAAACAGTTGCTTCATAAAATAGTAAATGTAAGACGAAGCGTGGTGTTCGAAAACAGTAACTACTTCTCCAACAGCAATGAAGAAAACCACTGCGCAATAAGGCAGATAACGGAAAGTAAAGAAAACGAGAATAAAGTCGTTTTTCATGAACAGGGTCTTTAAGTTAAGATAAGATACAAAAAAATAGGAGGGTTGGAAATGAGTATAACCTTTCTCGTTGAATCCGCTTGTTCTTAACATCGTACAACATTTTTCCAAAACCAAAGCAACACGACCCTGAGTATGACGAAGATGCTCACTCAAATCAACGCCGAATACTGGACGAGGACGTGCATTGTCTGGAATTTTTGCATTTGTGCCAGAGGTCAAACCACTTCTGGGCCGTATGCTATAGTTCCCCTCCAGGGGAGATATCCCCGGTAAACCTCCACTCTCTGCCGTTTTCTCTACTGATGCCCCTCGTCTCTCTGGCTCTCGCCGCTCTGCATCCATACTCTTCTGGCGCACGCTCTGTGCGAATATAGTGCAGCGCAGAGTATAATCGATATTCTCCCCTCTCCCCCAGCGCATATCGTTGGGGGACATTCTGCGAGAGTGGGAGCAAGGATGCAGAGAGGCAGAAGCAGAGAGACGAGGGGCATCGATAGAGAGAACGGCAGAGAGCGGAGATTTACAGGGGAAATCTCCCCTTCGAGGGGAAGTATAGCATATGGCCCCTGCACAACAACATATCGTATGATGTGACCCCTGCATGAAACAGGCACAAACAAACACAGACAAACTGTACACTCACTTCCGAAAACGGTCCTTTCATGTACGAGATGAATGGATCGGCAGCTGCGTAGCGTGCCACTTTCTCCGCTCAAAAGAGGGCGACAACGAGATTGGAGGACAGTGATGCCCACGTTCCGTCGGCACGGTCCGCCCG